CTATTCTGGGTTGTTTGTTCAACTACATCTAGAATTAACTAAAAATTCAAGACACTGGATTACTTGAAGGGTTCTTTTGGTTTGGGGGTTTTGTTTGTTTGTTTGTTTAATTGGTTCATCTGACATAGGGAAACCTACCTTAAATCCAGATCACTTGATGTGGGAAGACCCATCCTAAATATGAGCCATACCTTCTGGTAGAAGCCTGCATGAAGGAGATGGAAGAAGGAAGCACTTGTTCTTTGCTTGATTGCCCTCACTCTCAATGGTAAGTCCATCCCCTCACTAGCATGAGAGCCTGCGTCTTCAGGACTCTGACATATATTAAAGGCCAGCTGAGACATCCAGCCTCATGGATTCTTGGACTTCCCATTGGCAGAAAGCCATTGTTGGATTAGCTGGACCACAGCCTGGGGGCTACTCTAATACATCTCCTAGACAGACAGACAGACATATGATGATTGATTGATAGACAGACAGACATATGATAGATTCATGATTCATTCTATCAGTTCGGTTCTCTAGAATACCGTGACTAATATACCAGGAAAAACCAAAAGGGTAAACTAAGAAGAAAATTATACATCCTTCAAGGTAATCTTTTAAAGTTAAAATTAGTGCAAAATAGAAAATACTTTTTAAAAAAATTATATTTTGTGTGAATGTGTGTGCACAAGTGCCAGTGTGTGTGTGTGTGTGTGTGTGTGTGTGTGTGTGTGTGTGTGTGTGTGTGTGTGTGTGTATACAAGTACCTTGGTGTGTGTATAGGTCAGAGGACAACTTTTAGGAGTCAGTTCTCTCCTTCTAACATGTAGTTCATGGGGCCCAAACTCAGACTGACAGGTTTGGCGGCAATAACCTTTACCCACTGAGCCATCTCATCTACCCTGGTAATATTTACCAGTAGCTGGAGAAAGAACTCCAAGAGAGCAGCCGGATACTGGCACTTTCACTCATTCCTGTGCAGTCACAGGTGTGGCACCTCTGGAACTGTCCCCCTTTGTTTTTGTGAATCAGGGTCTGCCTGGCCTGAAACTATATCAACTAGGCTGGTCTCCAACTCAGAGATCTAACCTTTGCCTCCTGCACGCTGGGATTAACTATGTGCTATCATACCCAGCCTACCTTGTTCTTTCAGTCAGAGTCTCTCATTGGTCTGGGGTTCATTTACTCAGCTAGGCTGGGTAGCCACTGAGCCCCAGGATCCTCCTATTGCTGCCTCCTTAAAGCTTGGATTACAGCTCACACCACCACAACTGGCTTTATATTTCAGTGCTGGGGACTGATTAGGATCCACATGTTTGCATAGTAAGCACTTTACAAACTGAGACATATCCCCAGCCCAGCAGTCCTTTTGTTTTACAATTTCATTTATTTAATTGTATGTGGATGCACACATAAGAGTGCACATGCTGGCTGGGTGATGGCACACACCTTTAATCCCAGCACTCAGGAGGCAGAGGCAGGCAGATCTCTGTGAGTTTGAGACCAGCCTGGTCTATAAGAGCTAGTTCCAGGACAGCCTCCAAAGTCACAGAGAAACCCTGCCTTGAAAAAAAACAAAAAACAAAAAACAAAAAACAAAAAACATAACACAAACAAACAAAAGTACACATGCCACTGCACTTCTGTGGAAATCAGAGGACAATCCATGGCTGCTCTCTCTCCACCATGTGAGTCCTGGGGATTGGTGGTCAGGCATGGTGGCAAGGGCCTTTACCCACTGAACTATCTCACTGGCCCCTGTCATTTTTAAAAATTATGATGGAGATGTGACTGAGTTAAGATTGGTCTTTAGGTAGACAGATACAGGATGCTTAAAGGTTGTGACAATATTTAGTCTAAAGCAACCCACTGCTTTAGTCATTACAGATGAGTCACAGAAACAAGCACTTCAAGTTTTAAAGGGAAAACTCTGACCATGACATGAAGCCATGTCACAAGTTTGCTATTCACACCTACGACAACACATGATTATGCCAGATTTTACAGAGCAGGGCATGTTTTCATTGGCCTCGACTGTGCATCACCAAAAATAAATGACAGGACAGCTCTCCCCTGTGTCTCCCTTCCCTCCCTCCCTGCTCCCGGATTCCCTGCCTTCACAGATCTCCTGGGGCTATGTGGTGTCCAGTGAATGAATGATTTAACCATCCCTTCCTAGAAACTTCGGGTAACTTTTACACAGTGACACTGAATAGCATTCACTCTGAAATCTCTCTTCTGTCACTCTTTAACCTTATAAGTGAACTATTTTTTTTAATCTAGCAGAGAAATCAGAAAACTTTTAAATTATGAATGGTAAGAGAAGGGGGATTCACGAGTTACTCTGCTACTCAATTCTGACAAACCCTCCCTCCAGCACCCAGACTGGGGAGTATGTGAGAACAGTCTATGCAAGTGAAAACAGAAAATGCAATTACATTTTATTGCAAGAAATTTGGAAAACATATTTTTAACAAAGTTAGCTATTCAAAAAGTGTTGCCTTAGGCTGCCTTTTAATAGCTCCTTTTCACAAGTGTGAAGTTTAATGGAGGTGGCAGCATTTACAAGCAACACCAAAATGGTATCTTAATTACTAGCCGAATTTTCTGAGGCAACAAGAGATTAAATGGAAAGAGAAATTAGTTTTACAAATGGCTTCATACATCTTTATGTTATACCCCCTCCATCAAGCCACAGATGGTTATCTTGAATTTCCTAATATTATAGGCAATTTTCTTTTCCTTGGGCACACCCAAATCCATCACCACTCTCAATTACATCTTCTTTTGGAATCATTGATAATAGCTAAAGCTGTTTTTCATAATGATTTAAAACTTACTGACCACATGACTCGGCCTTGTCCTCATTGGGTTCTGTGTGGAAAGGAAACTTAAGACTTGTTCAAACTCCTGGCTCTGTAGAGTGCAGTGTACTCACAGCATGGCTCTGTGCAGGCCTTGGCTTGATAAAGCTAACTGTAGTGCCTGGTCTCTTGCTGTGGTCAAAGGTAAGAACCAGAGCTGGGGGGAGAAAGGCTGTTACTGTTGTCATGCGATGTCATTCACATCTTCATTAAGAGAGACGCTAGGAGTCTATACAACTACATATGTCTTTAAAAGCTAACAGATTTTACTTTCATGTGGTCAAAACACCCTATCAGAAAAACAATCCTGCTGAACTGTGTTGGCACACACATTTACTTTTTGTCTTCTTTTGCAGGCTCCAATCCATATCATGCATCAAACTTACCTTAGGCTGGAAAAGTCCACAGACTTTCTTGTCTCAGAGGACAGATTTCAGGGGGAAAGCAGCAGCCAGCCAGGAGGGAAATGCTGCAGAAGTGAGCACAGAGTGGAGTCTGCTCCAGGTGTTCTTGCCCTACATGGCTGCAGAAACCCAACTGAACTCTATTCTGCCCTCTTGTGGACGAGTAAGAAGTTTTAGCTCTGACAACCACTATTTAAACGTCATTTTTATTAGTTCTTTGAGAAATCTGTACCTGCTTTTACCATTGTAACCCTGCTCCCCCAACTCCTCCCAGATCCACCCAACTTTTTTCTAGAAAAGAACAACAACAAAAAACCTTCAGGATCAATTTCTGCTGCCCAAATAGTCTTGTATATATGGTCTTCCTCTGGAGTATGGTTGACTTCCGCAAGGTATCAACTGACAATAGCTTCTTGGCTAAGCTTCTCCATGCTGGAATTTGGTTGGGCTTGGCTTGTACAGGCCTTGCACACGCTGTCACCACTGCTTTGAGTTCATATGTACAGCTGCCTTGTTGTGTTAGAAAACACAGTTTCTTATAGTCACACCACTGTGTGGTGGTTTGAATAACAATGGCCCCAACAGGCTCATATATTTGAATGGTTAGTCACTAGGAAGTGGCACTCTTTAAAAGGATTAGAAAGATTAAGTGGTATGGCCTTCTAGCAGGAAGCGTGTCCCTGGGAGTGGCTTTGAGGATTCAAAAGCCCATGCCAAGCCCAGTTTTGTCTTTGCCTACATATCAGGATGTAGCTCTCAGCTACTGCTCCAGCATCTGCCTGAATGCTGCCATGATTCCTGCAAGATGATAATGGACTAAACTTCTGAAAATGTAAGCAAGCTGCCAATTAAATGGTTTCTCTATAATAGCTGTGGCCTGTAGCAATGTCTATGGAGCATTTCCTCAATTAATGAGCGATGTGGGAGGGCCACTGTAGGCAGTGTCAATCCTTGGCAGGGGATCCTGGAAGGCATAAGAAAGGAAGCTGGATATGGGCGTGAGAGCAAACCAGTAAGCATCCTTCCTCCATGGTCCTTGCTACAGTTCCTACCCTGACTTCCCTCAATGATGGACTATGACTATAAATAAGCCCTTTATCCAAATGCTTTCAGTTATGATGTCATAACAGCAACAGAAAGCAAACTAGAGATAACAGAAGCTTCTATAGTAGGTTTCTATGACATTTTCAAAGGTCTTTGGTGTCATTATCCTTCTCCATAGTCCTTTATCTTATCCTCTCTTTCCTCACCCCAATTTAACCCTTGCTGCTGTAATGTAAGACCCTCGGAAAGCTTAGGCTTCCAGAATCTTAGCCCAGGACCGCGGCCACCCCAATCACAGAATGGAGGCGAAAGCTTGATGCAAATTGCATGAGGCTTTATTGTAGTTTAACGAGCTAACCCCATGTTAGCTCGGGTCTTTGACCCACCCACCATGGCGGACGGCTAGCAAAGACAGTTCGAAGCCGCTTCGTACAGATCTTTATAGGGCAGCATAAGGGGAGTGTCTAGGGGTACGCACAGGCTCAGGATTGGTGTGCCTCCAGGCTTGGAGGGCTTGCCCTATGTTGATGGTCAACTGGTTGTTATGGCCCATAGGCCCTTCCAGGGTGGCTGCTATGCTCTCTACATCATTGCTGTGTGCTTGTCCGTAAAGCACACCCAGAGCCGTAAAGCATAGCGCCCCCAGCTAACTTCTGATTGGCTCCGTGTTAGGCAGCGGACTTTCTAGTGACTAACTTCTGTTTGTTTCCTTGTCACGAGGCAAGCATCTGACTTTCTAGTGTCTAGGACAAGGTCATAGAAGCACGTGTTCGGCCGTTATGGCTGCCAAAAGGGAAGCTGGTCCCTTCAGTAACATTTCCCTTTAACCCTATTGGACTCTACGTTCTTGCTATCCTATTCACAATAGTCAGGAAACGGAAACAGCCCAGATGTCCATCAACTGACTAACTCCAAACAAAGCAGGCAACACTCCCACTGTCATGGAGGAAGACCTGTTAGAACACAAACAGAAAGGGGGTGAGATATTTTTCTGTAGCTGTGACAAAATACCTGACAGGACAATTTAAAGTAAGGAGTGAGACCACAAACAACAACAAAACTAAACAAAATGACTATACCCCACTCACACTTGTCAATGATAACTTTAAATAATAATGACCTTAATTGGCCAGTCAAAAGACATGGGCTAGCAGAATGGACTAAGAAACAAAGTCCATCTTTCTTTTGCCTAAAAGAAACTCACCTTAGCTTTAAAGAGAGGTGCCAACTTAAAATGAAAGGATAGAAAAAGTTATTCCCAGTAGATGAGACCAGGAAGCAAGCAGGTATTCCTATCTTAATATCTGACTTCAAACTAATCAAGAGAAATAAAAAGAGCTCTTCATTCTAATCAAGGGAACAACTAACAAAGAAGACATTATCATGCCAAATATATATGCACCAAACTCTAGTGCATCCAATTTCATAAAAGGCATACAAGTAGAATTCAAAACAGATTGAAACATGATTTCAATGCCCCACTTTTTCTAATAGACAGGTCATCAGGACAATAACAACAAAAAATAGAATTAAATGACAGCAGGTATCTCTATAGAACATTCCACCCAAACACCAAAGAGTGTGAGAGTGTGTGTGTGTGTGTGTGTGTGTGTGTGTGTGTGTGTGTCTAAAATATACCATAGCCTGGAATACAAAATGAATCTGGACAAGTTCAGAAATTTTGAAATAATCTCATGTATCCTACCTGACCATAATGCTTAAAATCAACAGCAAGCAAATCTCTACTAAGTACACAACTCATGGAGAATAAACATGAGTGATGAAGAAATCAATTAAATGTAATGGCAGCACACACCTTTATCCCAGCATTAATGAGCAGAGGCAGAGGCAGAGAGGCAGAGAGGCAGAAAGGCAAAGAGAGGCAGAGAGAGGCAGAGAGAGGCAGAGAGAGGCAGAGAGAGAGGCACAGAGGAGAGGCAGAGAGGAGAGGCAGAGAGGAGAGGCAGAGAGGCAGAGAGAGGCAGAGGAGAGGTAGAGGAGAGGCAGAGAGAGGCAGAGAGGCAGAGGAGAGGCAGAGAGGCAGAGGAGAGGCAGAGAGGCAGAGAGGCAGAGAGAGGCAGAGAGGCAGAGAGGCAGAGCAGAGGCAGAGGCAGAGGCAGAGGTAGAGGCAGGCGCAGACAAATCTCTGTAAATTCAAGGCCAGCCTGGTCTACATAGTAAGTTCCAGGACAGCCAGAACTGTACAGAGAAACCCTATCTCAAAAAGAACAAAAACAAAAACAAAACAAAAAACAGAAAAAGTGGGAGGAGAAAAATTTTAATTCCTAGAATTAAATAAAAACTTTTGGTACATACTAAAAGCAGTTCTTTGACAGAAATCTACAGCTTTAAGTGCCTACACTAAAATAAATCAGAAATACAAATAGATAATCTAATGATGCAAATCAGGAACTTGGGGGAAACAAAGAACAAATCAAACTCAAATCCAGTATATGGCAAGAAATAATAAAAAAAACCAGAGCAGAAATTAATGAATTAGAAACAAAGAATTAATCTGAAGATTGGTTCTTTGAGAAGATAAACAAGATTGACAGACCCTTGGCCCAAGAAACCGAGGAAAAAAAGGACCCAAATAAACAGAATCAGGAATGAACAAAGAAACATTACATCAGACACCAAAATATTTAGAATATTATCAGGTAATGTTTTAAAATGCTGTACTCTGTTAAGTTGGGAAATCTAAAAGAAGTAGATGAATTTCTAGGTTCATTCAAACCACAGAATAAACATCTTTGAAGTACCACTATAATAAAAACTTTAAATCTCTGGAGAGATTGAGGAAGATGCTAGAAGATGGAAGACATCCCATGTTCATGGAGCAGTAGAATTAATGCTGTGAAAATGACCAGTCTACAAAAGCAATTTACATATTCAATGCAAGCCCCAATAAAAACACCCACAAGTCTTCACAGAAATAGAAAAAAATCCCAAAATTATTATATAAAACACAAAGATCTGAGACAGTCTAAAGGATTACCATTCCAGACTTCAGGATATGTCACAGAGCCTATGGCCTTGGCACAGAAACAAACATGAGAGCAAGGGGACAAAACTCAAGAGCCAAACATGAGTGCACGTAAGTACAGCTATCTGATATTTGACAAGCATGTCAAATACACACACTGGCAAAAAGACAGCATCTTCAACAAATGTTGCTGAGGAAACTGGGTGTCCACATACTGAAGAATGAAATAGAACTGTATCTTGCACAAAATTTAGCTCCAAAGGAATCAAAGGCCTCACCGAAAAACCCCAAACACTGAAAGTGCTAGAAGAAAACATAGGTAGTACCCTACAGGACACAGCTGTAGGAAAGGACTTTCTGCATAGTATTCCATGTGCCCAGGAATTAAACCCACCATTAACAAGTGGTACTTCACTCTGAAAGTTTCTGTTTTGTTAAAGAAACATGTAATCGAATGAAGACAAAAGCCAGAGTGGGAGATAATCCCTGCTAGCTATGCATCTGATGGAGGAGCACTATTCGGGATATATAAATAGCTTTTTAAAATTCTCAAGAAAATAATTCAATAAGAAAAAAACTAGAATTCTCAAAAGAAAAAAAATGGCTAAGAAGTATCTCAGCTAAGTATTCATCATCCTTAACAATTAGGGAAATGCAAATGAAAATAACTCTTGAGATCTCATCTCACCCCCAGTCAGAATGGCAAAGATAAGAAAACAACTGACAACAAATGCTATGAATTCTTTGGCAAGGGACCCCTCACTCCTTGTTGGTAGGAAGGCAAATTAGTGCAGCTACTCTGGAAATCAATGTGGAGAACCCTCAAAACACTGAATCTATTATATGACTGGGCTGTGCCACTTCTTGGCATACGTCAAAAGGACTCGACATCCTAGCCCACAGGCACTTGCTCAGCCATGTTCATTGTTGCTCTCTCTAGTCACAATAGCCAGGAAAGGGAAACAACCTAAATGTCCTTCAACTGACAAGTGGATGACACAAATATGGTACATAGACATAGTGGAATAATATTCCGAAGAAAAAGAAAAATCATGAAATTTGCAGGTAAATGGATGGACTTGGTACTTGGTAAATATATTAATTGACCAGAAGGACAAAAGCCACATGTTCTCTCTCACCTGTGGTTTCCAGATTCGTATCTTCAGATAAGTAAATGACCTGGAGTAACCACAGACTGTGGAAGTGGAAAGGGACCATAGGAAAGGGAGGGCGCTCTAGAGAGGGAATAGGAGGATACAGGTGATATAAAAGGGGAAATGGAAACAGGGAGAAGGCTTTAATTGGGGAGGGAGGGTAATACAGAAAACGAAGGAAGAGGGGCAACAAAATCACTAAGGATGTTTGAAAAAGACATAGAGAATTGTTTTATATTTATCTAAAGTTATATATAAAATATATATGTGGCTTAAACAAAATTACTCCCCCTATAAGAGTCATAGACTGTCTAATAAAAATCCCTATACAGGACATGAGAAACTTTTTGAGTTGCTTGTTGGGGGAGCCCAAGAGACTCCCAAAACAATAGGCTATTGCTATTTTCATTTGGGTGCCTCCTAGAAGTTGAAGGTAAGCCTCTATTGCTGAAGACATCATGCCCTTTGGACAAGACACTTGAGCTGGAACTGACCCCAAAGCTTCCTCTCCGAGCACTAGTTTTCACAGTAGTGGAACATGGCATGCAAACTGATAAAGGAGGAAGGCAATCAACAGGCCTAACCCAGCTGTGGCATCTATGAGCCACAACAATGACCAACACGGCAAGATATCCCTACAGGTGCAACAGTATCTTGGCAATGACTGTGATGACTATTTTTGGTTGTTACCTTGACTACATCTACCAGGTGACAAGGAAAGGTGCAAGCTTTGAGTGGGACATGAAACAGAAGAAGGCTCTTCAACAGGTCCAGGCTGCTCTACCACTTGGACTGTATGATCCAGCAGATCTGATTGTACTTGAGGTGTTAGTGACAGACAGGGATTATCTGGAGCCTTTGGTAGATTCCTATATGTGAATCATGGAGGACACCCTTGGGATTTAGGAGTTACCATGCTGCAGACAACTATTCTCCCTTAGAGGGACAGCTCTTGGCTTGCCATTGGGCCTTTAGAAGAAACTGAATATTTGACAATAAGCCACCAAGTTGTCATGTGACCTGAGCTGCCCATAATGAGCTAGGTATTATCTGAACCACCAAGCCATAAACTAAGATGTGCACAGCAGCAATCCACTATCAAATGAAAGTGGTATCTATGTGGTCATGCCTGAGTGGATCCTGAAGACAAAAGCAAGTTATATGAAGAAGTTGCCTGACATGCTTATGGTTTCTACTCCTGTGATGGGGGATGTCCTTCTGTATGCTGTGTATATGTGTTTCTCCTATTGATTGGTGAATAAATGCTGATTGGCCAGTAGCCAGGCAGGAGGTATAGGTGGGGCTACCAGACTTGGAATGCTGGGAAGAGGACGACAGAGACAGAGCCACCAGAGAGATGTCCATGTAGCCATCGAAGGAGTAACATGCTAGAGCATTATGGGTAAGCCACAGCCTCGTGGCAATACATAGTTTAATAGAAATGGGTTAGTAATTAAGAGAAAGCTATGCAGTAAGAAGCCTTAGCCATCAGCCAAACCGTTTATAACTAATATAAGCCACAGTGTGTTTATTTGGGACTAAGGACTGCGGGACCAGGAGAGACAGAAACTCCGTCTGTTATGCTGTCTGCTGCCAAGCACGACCCTGTAGCCTCAAGGGGTGTGCCCTTTGATATGATAGATTGAGGAGGAAGAGAATGTGGGGGAGTCTGGTTTACTGATGGATCTACACCTTTTGCAGGTAGCACACAGAAGTGGACAGCTGCAGCATTACAACCACTGGGACAACCCCGAAAAATGCTTGTGAAGGAAGACCTTCACAGTTGGCAGAACATTGGCCTACACATGTGGTTATACATTTTGCTTAGAAGGAGAGATGGCCAGATCTGTGATTCTTTACTGATTCATAGTCTATAGGTAGCCAATGACTGGCTGGATGGTCAGGGATTTGGAAATAGTGTGATTGAAAAATTGGTGAGAAAGACTTCTGGGGAAGCAGCATGTGGACAGATCTCTTTGGATGGGTAAAAGATGTGAAGATACCTGTATCCTGTGTAAATGATTTTCGAAAGGTGACTTCAACAATCAAGTAGACAGGATGACCCACTCTCTGGACAGACAGCCTCTTTCTCCAGCCTTTTCTGTCATTGCCCAGTGGGCCAAAAACAAAGTGGCCATGGTAGCAGTGAAGGCTACGGATGGGCTTGACAACATGGACTTCCACTAACCAAGGCTGATTTGGCTACAACTATTGCTGAGTGCCAGATCTGCAACAGTATGGCACTATTCTCCAGGGTGACCACCCAGTGACCTGGTGGCAGGTTAATTACATTGGACAACTTCCTCCATGGAAAGGACAATACTTTGTCCTTACTGGAGTAGATATTCATTCTGGTTATGGGTTTGCCTTTCTGCATGTAATGCTTCTGCCAAAACTACCATCCATAAAATTACAGAATGTCTTACCCACCATCATGGTACTTCTGATCAAGGAACTCACTTCGAAGCCAGGGAAATTTAACAATGGCCCATGCTCATGAAATCCACTGGCCTTCCCATGCTTCCTACCACCATGAAGCAGCTGGCCTTATAGAACTACAGAATGGCCTCTTGAAGACACAATTACAATGCCAAGGGGGCCAGTAGCCTAGAGGGTTAGGGCAGGGTTCTACAGAAGGTAGTATATGCATTGAGCCAGCATCCAATATATGATGTGGTTTCTCTCATGGCCAGAATCCACATGTCCAAAAATCAGGGGATGGAAAAGGAAACGGTTTCACTCACTACTATCCCTAGTGACTCACTAGGAAAATTGTTGCTTTCTGTTCTCGGGATCTTAAGTTCTGCTGGCCTAGAAGATTTGGTTCCAGAGGTGGGAGTGTTCCTGTCAGGAGGCACATGAAACATTCCACTGAACTGGAAGTTCAGACTTACTCCTAGTCACTTTGGGGTTCCATTGCCCTTTAACCAACAGGCTAAAAAAGGAATAACACTATTAGGAGGGGTGATATATCCAGATTACCATGGGGAAATTGGATTGCCTCTCCACAATGGAGGTAAGAAGGATTATGTCTGTAGTGCAGGAGACCCTTTAGGGCATCTCTTGGAGCTACCTAGTTCTGTGATTAATGTCAAAGGGAAACTATAACAGTCTAATTCAGGCAGGATGACAAAAGGCACAGACCCTTCAGGAATAAAGACGTGGGTCACTTCTGTAGGAAAAGAGCCAGGACCTGTTGAGGTGCTTGTGAGGGTGGAGGAAATACAGAATGAGTAGTAGAGGAAGGTAATTATAAATACCAGCTGAGGTCATGTGACCAGTTGCAGAAATGAGGATTATAACTGACATGAGTGCTTCTATTTGTTTATAATTTGTTTGTGTGGATATTTGTGTTCTCTTTCCTTAGTTTCCTTATCATGTAATGTAACATCAATTGACACAATATTAGAGGTTATCATACTAAGTTTTGGGATACTAAGAAGTGAACCTTAAAGGACACTGCCCCATGTTCTAAAATATACAATGCATTTGTGATTTATGTGGATAGCTATATTGTGTTAGGCATAATTATGACCTGGTTATTTTCATTTGGAAATTAAGCATGGCAGAAAGAGATGTGATTGTGTGTCAAGCTGACAAGGGGTGAACTTGTGATGGCTATTCTTGGTTATCAACTTTACTACACCTGGAATTAACTAAAAACCCCAAGATACCTGACACACCTGTGAGGGATTTTAGTCGGCCGGATCATTTAGTTAACTGTTCTTTGCCTGTGTGCTCTGGCTCTCACTTCAATGGCATCAGAGCCTATTTCTTTGGAATTCTGGCATACATTAAAGACATCAAGCCCGATGATCTGAACACTACTGGGAACTTTCCACTGGAAGACAGCCATTGTTGAACTAACCAGACCACATCCAGTAAACCACTCTATTAGTTCTGTTCCTCTAGAAAATCCCTACTAACACAGTAACCAACAGCTGTCTAATTGGATGAAGGGCCTAATTAACAGGAGGGAAATCATGCCTGTTACTGGAAACATAGCCAATTACATATGACTAGTGAAGCCATGGATATTGAAGGAGAACCTACAACTGCCACTTTACTAAACCAGCATAATACCTGACCATTCTAAATATTTGTCCTTATACCCACATGGAAGTGTGTATCTCACCCCTCATCACAGAAGATTCTTTTCGCAGCAGTAGGAGACCATTACAGAAAGCCACAAGTAGTCAAATGCAGAGAACACTGGTCATGGGTGCTCAGCTCCAGCCGATACACCTACAACACAATTCTTGCACTTAATACTCAGGAAACATGATGGGGGGGGGGTGGAAAGACTTAAGAGCCATAAGACCAAAAAATCGGCCATGAGATTGTTCCTTCACCTAAATCTCAATAACATGGCCTAAACAAGACTGGAACAATTCCAATGACATTTGACATTCTAAGGTTATGGGGAAAATCTCACCTCCCCACCCCTAGGAGAAGATCTATGGGCAATTAACAGCTGCATTCCATACAGAAGCAAGGGGAGGACTAGTCTTCCCTAGGGATGAGTCCCCTGACTGGCTATCCAAATACTGAGTGGTCAGCCCCAGAACTTAAACATGCAAGTATTGTACTTATGTGTTCATTTATATGTATAATAACAATGGTTTAAGAGAGAAGGCCCTGGGTTTGAGGGGGAGAATGTGGTCAGACACAAGAGGGATAGAAGAGGGTGGGGAGAAATGATGTTATTATATTTTAACTAAGAGTTGCATGAAATTCTCAAAGAATACACAAAATATTATTTAATAACAGAAAATTTATGTGTGTGCTTATATGCGCACCTGCATGCACACGACCTCAGAAAGCAGATCCCCGGGGCTGGAGTTACAGGTGGCTGGTTGTGAGTCACCTGATGTGGGTGCTGGTCTTCTGGATGAGCAGTAAGCACTCTTAACATCTCTCCAGTCCCCTTTATGGCTTTATACTTTAGTTTACTGTTGCCGATCACTGGGAGTTTTTATATGGCTCCCATTTTAAAACATCTATTGCAATGTGGTATATTTACATAGGTGCTTCATCTGATTTTGTTGTAGTGTTTAAGACTGACCTCACTTTACTGTTGGCACATGTAAGGCAAGCACTCTATAGACTGAGCTAACCTCCTTAGTCCTTTACTATCTTTTATTCTATGAAGCAAATCTGTTGTGATGGTAATCCCCTATTTTTGGTTGTGTAAATTGGGTCACTGCAAAATTCTTTTTTTTTGGGGGGGGAGGCTCAGGACAGGGTTTCTCTGTGGCTTTGGAGGCTGTCCTGGAATTAGCTCTTGTAGCCCGGGCTGATCTCGAACTCACAGAGATCTGCTGCCTCTGCGTCCCAAGTGCTGGGATTAAAGGCATGCGCAACTACCACCCAGCTTCCTGCAAAATTCTTTTTTTTTGGGGGGGGGGAGGCTCAGGACAGGGTTTCCCTGTGGCTTTGGAGGCTGTCCTGGAATTAGCTCTTGTAGCCCGGGCTGATCTCGAACTCACAGAGATCTGCTGCCTCTGCGTCCCAAGTGCTGGGATTAAAGGCATGCGCAACTACCACCCAGCTTCCTGCAAAATTCTTTTTTTTTGGGGGGGGGGAGGCTCAGGACAGGGTTTCCCTGTGGCTTTGGAGGCTGTCCTGGAATTAGCTCTTGTAGCCCGGGCTGATCTCGAACTCACAGAGATCTGCTGCCTCTGCGTCCCAAGTGCTGGGATTAAAGGCATGCGCAACTACCACCCAGCTTCCTGCAAAATTCTTTTTTTTTGGGGGGGGGGAGGCTCAGGACAGGGTTTCCCTGTGGCTTTGGAGGCTGTCCTGGAATTAGCTCTTGTAGCCCGGGCTGATCTCGAACTCACAGAGATCTGCTGCCTCTGCGTCCCAAGTGCTGGGATTAAAGGCATGCGCAACTACCACCCAGCTTCCTGCAAAATTCTTTTTTTTTGGGGGGGGGGAGGCTCAGGACAGGGTTTCCCTGTGGCTTTGGAGGCTGTCCTGGAATTAGCTCTTGTAGCCCGGGCTGATCTCGAACTCACAGAGATCTGCTGCCTCTGCGTCCCAAGTGCTGGGATTAAAGGCATGCGCAACTACCACCCAGCTTCCTGCAAAATTCTTTTTTTTTGGGGGGGGGGAGGCTCAGGACAGGGTTTCCCTGTGGCTTTGGAGGCTGTCCTGGAATTAGCTCTTGTAGCCCGGGCTGATCTCGAACTCACAGAGATCTGCTGCCTCTGCGTCCCAAGTGCTGGGATTAAAGGCATGCGCAACTACCACCCAGCTTCCTGCAAAATTCTTTTTTTTTGGGGGGGGGGAGGCTCAGGACAGGGTTGCTCTGTGGCTTTGGAGGCTGTCCTGGAATTAGCTCTTGTAGACCGGGCTGATCTCGAACTCACAGAGATCTGCTGCCTCTGCCTCCCAAGTGCTGGGATTAAAGGCATGCGCAACTACCACCCAGCTTCCTGCAAAATTCTTTTCTTAAGGCCTTTTAAAGTCAAAGAGTAGGACTCTTTGGCTCAGGTCTTTGACTCTAAAGTCCAATCCAGTTTCTCAAATCGGTACAACTGACCTGAGCTATGATACTTAACAAAATTAAATGCTTGGGGCTATTTCCAGTTTTCATGAAAATATTCTCAAGATCATTAGGAAAGGTTAAAATATGGTTTGACAGAGTACAGAATGCACAAAGTGACTGAGCTATAATGTGACCTGACATGAAATTATGCCTATCATGTCTACAGTTCACTAGTTCCCTACAAGTCCCACCAAAAGGTCCCTGGATCCCAAGAAGTTATGAATCTCAGCGAGTGGAGGTAGACAAAATGAAAGGCTACGTCCAAGTGCAGTATTTAAGTGACTGTTCAAAATCATTTGACTAGAGTTGTGTTACATCAACTAGTGCACAAAGCCGTGTGTGTTTGGGAATCTTCGGGTTAGTCTCAGTAAAATCTAACTTTCATTCTTACTGTAATGAGCTCTCTGCCCTGCAAGTACATAACGATGAAACCAATGCCTAAGGCTGGTAGAATTCGTCTAACCCAGCTGGGTCTCTGTATTGTAAAAGTTGCACTTGTTGAGGAATACATATTTGGGTGGGGCTAAGCTATTAAAAACACAGGCTGCACTAGCACACCCAGGTCTGGTTCCCAGCACCCACATGGCATTTCACAACTGTCTGCAACTCCAGTTCCACGTGACCCAGTGCCCTCTTATGGCCTCAATGGGCCTCGGACCTGCACACGGAGCAGACACATATGTAGGCAAAACAGCCATACGCAATTTTATTTATTTATTTATATTTTTTGGTTTTTCGAGACAGGGTTTCTCTGTGTAGCTTTGGAGCCTATCCTGGCACTCGCTCTGGCGACCAGGCTGGTCTCGAATTCACAGAGATCCGCCTGCCTCTGCCTCCTGAGTGCTGGGATTAAAGGCGTGTGCCACCAACGCCAGGCTCAGCCATACGCATTTTTTTTAAGTTTTTTTTTTAATTTAGCACAAGGGACGAACACACCAGGGTTAAAACACTGGTCTGGGATTCTCGAACACCCTCCTGCTAAATCTGAAGCGCCAAAACCTGGCGTCGTCGGCTTCCACACCTGTGTGAAGTCTCTAACACGCTCGACGGAAGCCAGACGTCTGTCTGTCTGCCTGTAAGGAAGGAGAACTTCCTCTAGGAGCAGCGAGGGAAGGCAATACCAGTCACAGCACATCGCCGTCTAGAACTCCGACTGCAGAACTCACTCAAAGGCGCCGCTGCAAATGAGGCCGGCGAGGACGTCGGCA